GCACTGGTCTGCTTGGATGGCATCAACATTGAATCACATGAAAGCAGAAAACCAGAAGTGAAGAGCCACCTCGGAAGCATGCGTTCGCCTGGCATTGGACATCACAGTGGCGCGTGAAAGGAAAAGCAGGAAGGGCAGCTCCCCAACCGATTGGAGGGCGTGTCTCCGCAAGTTCCAGAGACGGTGGCCCGACATCAAGACACGCCATACTCAAGGACCCAAAGACTCAGGCAGCCCCACAAAAAGCGCACACAGCTATTGAAGCGTCCAAGGTTGTAGGGGTTTGTTCCAAGTAGGGATCAATGTCGTTCTAGGTCTACGCATTCTCACACCCAGCATTGTGCTGTATGCAGAAATGCAGGGCAACCCCCTTGCTGCATGTAACAACATGAAGTGGCAAAGATCGGGCTGAATGACTGTGAAACTTCAACCAGTTGAAACCGGGGACGGCGACAACTGTCGAAACATGTCAGGATGTTGGAATATGCAAGCCAGCATCAACCTTGCGAAGATCAGGCCATTATGTGATCAACGTAGTGATATCCCCCCTGGCACTGCCCCTGCAGCCCTTTGCCATTCAGTTACCGCCTTGATTCAGGTGCGTCTCGAAAATTTATAGTCTCACCATTTGGAGTTGGTGTGTAGGGGGCCTTTTCAGGATGCTGAAAGGAAATTTACGGAACCAGGCCCAGCAAGTAGATCCGTTTGACAAATATGCATCTGTCTGTCCATCTGACGCAGCATGATTCTACTCGCTGCTCGTGAAACCCCACTTACGCGAAAACTCCCAAAATTTCATATGTAAGCTACGGTTATGGTTGCCCTAGCAAAGCATCGGTTGCTTGAGACAGCATGATACGGGTTCGATAACCATCCCCGCAAACCCGAGCCAAGGCCAGCGTCACATACGAGTATGAGCTCTATTTGGGTGATTTAATCCCTCAGAAGTGGTCGGACATCCGTCTCTCCTTTCCGTGCCTCAGTGGCGTCTGCATGCCTCAGGCAGTAAGCAGTCCAGGCCCCCACGTGCTCCAGCAGTCCCTTGCTGACGATGGCGCCCCCCGCGGGGTTTGGGAACATAAAGGGCTCCTGGACAGCTCGGCTTCGTTGCCGTTCCTTGCCAGCGCTATGGTTCTGTTGCAAGTGAACCAATCACATCCAACATATCCAACCGCAAAGCCGAGACTTGCAACTTGCCCCCCAACTCCTTGCGATACACGATCGCCTGGTCCATGTCCCATCTCCCCCTATTTTGTTAGCATACAGTTCTACCACTTGTGTCTTTGCTCCAGCCCCCCCACCAGTTCGTCAGTCCCTCACTTCCTGAGTGGATTGATCCAAACACGTCAACTTCTTGTTCACCGCTAATAAACTCTTGAATCCAGGAAGATTCGGTCCAGTCCTGTCCGGGGCTGTAGGCCACAGTGGGCACCCCCAAGTAGAAGGCGTCGGAGCAGTTGAAGCACTGCAGGCGGCTCTCCAGTGTGGGCACGTTCACATAGCTGGACACTGGAACCTCAACCAAACGCCCATGAAAGCAACGAGCCTTCAAAAAGGGCATGCCCCTCCCATCGAAACCTCTGGTGTCTACTTGCTCTCGGTTGACTATCTTTGTTGACGTTGGTTTCAAAGGAATTCTGAGGGAAACTACACATTCTACTCCCGGGGATGTCTGTTTTGAGTTGGAAGAGTACCATCTTAAGGGTTCCTTTGTTCAAGGGGAATCTCAAGGGAACTCAAAGCCCATTTTGTGGGTAGCCTCACTTGGAGAAGAGCCCACATTAGCAGGCAGCATAACACCCGAAATGGGCAACCAAAGCCAATTCTGCGCAGAACCCCCCTGCTGCTGAAACGTCAGCCATCAAACAGGCTAGTCAGCTTTGGAGATGGCTTTGTCACGACGCCGGGAAGCAACATGAAAACATGCACATACCAGTTTGCTGGAGTGGCTCCTGGTTTCGACACATTCTGACTCCTTCTGCAGAAAACGGCGCCCCCAACCATTGCAAACCCTGTGAAGTTCTATGAATGGCTTGAGAAAAGGATGGGTAGCAAGACATGCTTGAAGGTTCCTCAAACTTGACGCCCCCCAAACCGGAATAATTAGGTCGGTGCCCTGTTTAATCTTCCCGAAATTGGAACCTACAAAGATCCCGAGCGTGTGGAACTAGACTCTTTATGACTCCTTTTGCAGATCAAGACGAATCCCGGGCCTTCATCACCCAGTCGCAGCTGCCTGCGCCGCCCCCCTCCTCCAGCAGCGTCACCACGTGGTGCCAAAGGCGCAAGGCCCGCAGCCCCCAGGCGCCGCCGGCTGCCGCGTCCGCCTCATAGGGTGGCAGCCGCAGAGTGGGGAGGTCCGCCAGAGCCGCCGCGAGGCCCACAGCCTCCGCGCCCGCCTCGAGGAACGCGCCTTTGGAACTGAACTTGTTTTGAAAGTGCCCCATAAGACAATGCTTACAGATCATACAGTTCCTTGTGGTAGCCAACAAATCACAACGCAAAATGTAGCCATAGTTGTGCCCTGCCAAGAATGTATTGCACATGGTAATGAGAAACAAGGGGCAATGCACAACTGGGCCATGTCTGGAAACCGCAATCATGATATCCTTCTCCTCTGGATTTGGGGGCATTCAAGTGACAGTCTGACACCCCAGATTCCTTTGTACAAGGTGGTGAAAAGAAGTCCCACCCAAAAAGTCCCACCAAAAATAAGGTTGCTTCTAGTTGAGGCAAGCACCATGTCCCCCCTCTGGTTGAACATGTTGAACCATTGACTCAGTCGAAGTGTCCAACGGGCTGTCCGGTCTGATTCCATGCCCAGGACTCCATGGCCAAAGGGGGATTTCTTTGACATGGTTGCTAAAGGAAGACGCTCCTCACATGCAGGGACGAGGCAAGGTGTTGTCTCTCTCTCTCTCTCTCTCCCACTCTCTCTTTCTCTCTTTCTTTCTTTCTATCTGTCTGTCTGTCTTTCTCTCTCTCTCTCTCTCTGTCTGTCTCAATGTCCTACTTGACAGGCACCAGCTCGAAAGGAAACACACCGCATGCCCACTGGGCAGCATGACGGCTCCTGGGCCTGGCAGGCCTCGCGGTCCGAGCCTCGAGACCCCCAACCCAAAATCCACCGCCTCAGGCAGCACGAAGAAGGTGCTGTTGGCGGAGCTCCGAACGTGCGCCAGGCGCGCAAAGTGCTCCACCTGACATGCGGCACATGCCAGCGCATTTGCGTGGGGGATGGCCCAAGAACTGTCAACAGGGAATCCGGAAGTAATGGTTGTCCGCAAAAAACTTCGAGCCAGTTCATGCCCATCTCGAATCTAACCTTAGTGACCTGTAGTCTTTTTGTTTGGGCAGCACGCGAGTGAACATTGCCCGAAATGAGAGCTTGCGAGAGAAGAAACAAATGATGGACTCACGGGCCTTCGGAACACCTATCAACGGCCATAACACGGGCACCTCGTTGTGGCAGGAAAGGATGCCCAGAAGTACGTGGCCTTTGCAGTTAGGACCAAGGGTGACCTTGTTCATTTGTGCTTCCTTTTTGGGGGATTCAGGGACCTCCATCCTGGACAATGCTGCCCTGCTGCAATCCCCTTCAAGAAAGGCCAGGGAGGGAGACCGCTGCAAGTCCGGGTCAATGCTGTATTCCCAACCTTTACAGGTCCCGGCAGGTTGGACAAATCGATCCAATCAACCTGACTTGGGCTCTTTCGACCAAAACACAACAGTTCAACGTGTCAAAAGCAGGTGAATCATCATTAAAACATTGCTATTGAAGGAGTCATAACCAGAAGACTCCAATCCAGTATAAAGAACCAACATGCGGATCTGGACCAAAACTAAAGGTTGGGACTTGCCCGTACGAATCTTAATGGTCTTGTCGTCTTCCACAAAATGCAGCCCAGCTAAATCTTCGCACGGCTAAAAGCAGCGAATGCTAGGGCGGCTCACGTGCACATGCCACCACAAAGACTCATGCTGCGTCCATGAATTTGATTCAATGATTCAAACACAATCAAACAAAATCCAAAACAGTTTGTGCGTGACTGATCTAGCGTGACGCGTCTCCCAACTCGCCTCCTCCCGTGAGGCATCGCGGTGGAGCAGAGCAGGGATGAAGATGCACAGCACTGAGCGGGGCAGCGAAGGCACGGGGGGCATGCCGAAGCCTAAGGCTTGCCACCCCCCCTCCAATAACTAAATCTGAGCAACTGCTAACACTCGAACGAAGAAACCCTTGAGAAAGGGCACCCAGTTTTTGCACGTGCCGACAAATGGCCCGGCTCTGGAATGATGAAGCACCTTCACTATCATCCTAACAAAGGACCTGATGGTGAGGCTTGCTGCGTTCAGGGTTCCCTTCCAGGGAAGGCGTCCTTCTTCCAGGTTGTTCTATCATGGATATAGGCGTTTCAAATTGGAGATCTCTAAACCTGGTTTGGTGTCCGGTTCACATATCACATGGAACTCCATGAAGGGGGTCGCCCATCTTGCATCTGTATCCCACATATGACCCTGGACGCCCATGTTCGCATGTTCGGACTCTAAAGGCTCCATCGCTTGAGCTGGCAAAAGGCGGCGAATAGCAGCGAGCGTGCTCTTCGAACTGGCTTGCCGCTGGCAAAAGAAAAGGACATTGGAGAAGTTGCCTTTGGGCAATATCCGCGTATGGCTCACAATACTTGGACTCCCCAATGGTGGGGGTCCTTTTGGTTCCCCTGTAAACCAACCCCAAAAAAGAAAGCCCTAAACATGCACAAACCCATCTGGGGTCCTGCCAAGTCGACTTCTTGTGAATTACTATCCAAAAGGCGGCTCCTCATTGGGACGCATTCCCACGTTCTGCCTTCTGAACTGCAGCTGCAAAGGTATCCTATGGGGTATCCCCTTACACACCAATAAAAACATTCAATCAATCCTGATTCCTGGAGCACAGCAGAACATGTACTTGGAAAATGGAGCACGCCAAGTCCAAACTCTTGCGCTGAGTGTCCGGCTCTGCTTTCAGCTCTGCCAACTGGCGAGGTTTTCCGCTCCAATCCCAGACCAAAACGGGAACTCAACGCTCAGTCAGAGCCCCCCAAACCAGCCAAATACTAGCCAGCAGCTGAACCAACCTGACATCTGACCAACCGACCACCTAAACCAGCTCTACCAGGCTGCTTTGTCCGACAAAGAATAAGAGTGCCGTGGCTTGCCTGCAATGCGCCTTGCAAAGTGATGGTTGATTTCCAAGCTACAGAGAAGGCAAAGCCTGCGAAGTGCCGGCATGCAGCTGTGCTACTCTAAGCATATTCGAGGCCGAGACAATCTGTGTACTTGTGTGTGTGTGTATCTCAAAACTCATCGACACACACACACACACACACCCACACCCACACGCACACACGCACACGCACACGCACACGCACACGCACACGCACGCGCACGCGCACGCGCACCCGCACCCGCACACGCACACGCACACGCACACGCACACGCACACACACGCACACACACACACACACACACACACACACACACACACACACACACACACACACACACCACACACACCCACAACATCACAGGCTCCTAAATTGCTTGAATTCATTCCCAATTCAACAAGGTTTTTCATGGTTATTTGCAACCATGCGAACACCCAAAGGACTGTCACCAGGATGGGTGCAAACAAGAGGGTCTGGCAAAAGCCAACAATCATCAACATCATGCTATGTCCTTGAATATGTCCCATTAACACCCACCACCAAACCAGCATGCCTGGTGGCCCAAAGCATCAAAGAGCTATTGCTTCTCCCGAGCCTCCTCCGCGCGCCTGGGCCAGCGTACAAGGGCTGAATCCTACATCCCTTCCAAGATGGCCAAGGCAGGGTGGTATCTTTGGGAACATCCAAATCCTGAAGGTTTGGCAATAAACAGGTATCATCAACTATCCATAAGGCTGACGGCGTTCGGCGTTATATTCCCAATGCTGCAAGGTTCAAGAAAAAAGATGCACACTGCACAGGATGAGGGGCTTCTAAAACAAGGCCGCAATAGTTTATAGGTCAGATGCACTGCGCAGACATCGAAACGCATGTTGCAGTCGCAGTTCCTACGGCTATTCTTGTACTTTCCGAGGGGTGGTGCTCCAACGAGCTGAAAGTGCAAGGAGGCCACCTACTAAGTTGCATGCCTAGCCTAGTACGAAATAGCCTGAGGGCGTCGGCGTGGGTTGTTGACAACCCCAGAGTTCTGCCACACATGGCGTGACAGCCCTCTTCGCTTCTTGTCCAACTGATGCTCATTGATGCTCATCAAACCTCCGCGAACAAATTGCTCAAGTAACGATCTTAGTTTTGCCAAGCCCCCCCCTCCTCACTCAGTAGCATGGAGCCAACCCATCTGGAAACCAACCCGAATTGAAGAGGGCGATTGCCTCCGTTTTGACAAGGGCAAGCCCCTCCATTGGTCCATGACACTTCTAACTCGGCGGCAACCGTTTCAACAGACCAGGATTTGAAAGGAAACATTTGGGTACTACTCAGAGAGGGGGACACCCAAAATGCATGGTTCTTTCCTTTCAAGACAATCCCAAAAAACGCTCTAACAAGCATGGAAGTGCACAGGCTTTTTCTGGAAGATTCCTTTCTTTTGGGGAAGGTGTGGTGCTCGCTTCCGTTTGTGTGAGGGAGGGTCCCCTCCAAAACCTGATGCCCATTGGAACACTCCAGAGGCCAGCTGGCCAGTGGCACCAAAACCATTTGTTTCCGCCCCAGCTTGCACTGCGCTCGCTGGGTGCGCGGGCGGGGATGCCGGTGCTGGGCCTGTCGGGCCTGCCGCTGCCGGGTGGGGGAGGCTAAGCTCCAGGGTGGGGCATGGCCAAAAAGGAGGCCAAATTAAACACGCAAGCGGTTCACGTTAGACTGCGGGAAGTGGTTGATTTCCAAAGGAAGCCCCTGCCAAAGAAACAAAAAAAAATGCAGCACCGGAGGTCTGGGGTGATAAAACAAGATTGGGGCCCGCTGCACCTGGTTTGTTCTTGAGGCCATCAATTTCGCAGACTAATTTCGAGCGTGTTTGCACCAAACCAAGGAAACATGCCCTCTGAAAGCGGGGTCCTTGCCACTAGACTAGCTGCGCGGTAGCTTCGTGGGCGGCGCAAAGCCTTGTCATGAAGACGACACGCGGCGGCGCTCATCTCTTAGTGCGCGACGGCACTTACGCGTTGGCACGTGGCGATGAATAAACATGCGCGGCGCAAAGCGCAACAATGTTGCCCAGAAGGACTGCCAACTTGGCCGCAAAGACTGCTTTGGTCATATGGCAACATTGGGGCCTGATTGCCAACCCCCTTTTCCAACCTTGGAGCCTGGTTGATAACTTCCACTGATTGACGCCAATCTGCTCCCCCCCCCAGCCCTGCACCAAAGCTTCTTCCATTTTAGAGAGGGTTGGAAAGTTTGGCCACCCCCAATTCATATGTCACCCCCATCTCCTAGAACCCAAACATAAAAA